GTGTGTGTCCTCAACGCGTCTACAGTTGTAGAGTTTTATTTATTTGTGAGATATGTTTATTCACCTGCGAGAGTGAATATGTGAAGTCAGTCCTAAATGAACAATACAATTATGTGAATTAAAGTTTACATGATAAGAAAATTCTTGTAAACACGTTGATTTTTTTGTATCTTGAGATTTTGCGCAACGATGTAAGTCGTGTGTGTGCGTGCGTGCATGCGTTCAAGACAACCGAACAGCGACAGTGTTAGCTATGAGGTGACCTGCAGATGCCCGAGCTGCCTGGCCCTTCACGTCCACACCCTTCACTGGAAACTCATCGAGGGTGAGGGCGAACTGGACCTTGCTTCGCGGGGCCAGGACTCGGAGGCGCGAGGCTGTGAAATAGCCTCCTGACAGCTGATAAGATCGCCTTCCTAATGACCCCGAGGGCGAGGGAAGTGGGAATCGGACATCGCGATTTCCGCGCCCTTTGCTCCAGTTCCCAGGGCGGCGCGCGGGAACAGTGAATTCGTTGAAGTAAAAATGTTGCAGTTATTTGAAACTGAGTTCATTATCGTCTGCATCCGAGTCTGAGTGGTTGTCGATGGTTTATAAATGTGTATGTAGTAGTATGTAGGCCTCTGCCAGTGCTTTATGTGTAGTGGCTGACTCTCCGAACTAGAAAAGCTAACGCACTCGATCGTGCACGAGCGCATTGTTGGCGCACCTGCCTCGTACAGGTGTATCCGAGGAGAGTCGTGTCAGGTGAGACGAGGCGCTGGCCAGAACACGAGACGCGACTTGGCCGTAATGCATACCAGCCTCTGTGGTCGTCTCCGCACTCCTGGCAGCCCCGAGCCATGGTCATGCATGATATAACAGGGGATGTGATATAAATTTCCCGATTGACCATCTCTCTTCTCTTCTCTTTGCGTCTGCTCTCTCTTACTCTTACTCTCTCTCTCTCTCTCTCTCTCTCTCTCTCTCTCTCTCTCTCTCTCTCTCTCTCTCTCTCTCTCTCTCTCTCTCTCTCTCTCTCTCTCTCTCTCTCTCTCTCTCGCACTCTCTCTCTCTCTGTCTCTCTCTCTCTCTCTCTCTCTCTGTACTCTCTCTCTCTCTCTCACTCTCTCTCTCTCACTCTCTCTCTCACTCTCTCTCTCTCTCTCTCTCTCTCTCTCTCTCTCTCTCTGTCTGTCTGTCTCTCTCTCTCTCTCTCTCTCTCTCTCTCTCTCTCTCTCTCTCTCTCTCTCTCTCTCGCTCTCTCTCTCTTTCTTTTTCTTTCTTTCTCGTTCTCTTTCTCTTTCTTTTCCTCTCTCTCTCTCTCTCTCTCTCTCTCTCTCTCTCTCTCTCTCTCTCTCTCTCTCTCTCTCTCTCTCTCTCTCTCTCTCTCTCTCTCTCTCTCTCTCTCGCTCTCTCTCTCTCTTTCTTTTTCTTTCTTTCTCGTTCTCTTTCTCTTTCTTTTCCACTCTCTCTCTCTCTCTCTCCTCTCTCTCTCTCTCTCTCTCTCTCTCTCTCTCTCTCTCTCTCTCTCTCTCTCTCTCTCTCTCTCTCTCTCTCTCTCTCTCTCTCTCTCTCTCTCCTCGTCTTCCTTGCCATGCACTGCTTTTTCTCTTCCTCCATCCACCTCACCTTGTGTCTCGCCCGCCCTTACCACACCCAATTTGCTCTTATCCTTAAAACCACACCCATCTTATCTGTTCTACGTCACACTCAGTGGTTTTTCTCCGTTTTCTTTCATTCTGTCGACCATTTAAATCTTTCGTATATTTTACTTTGAATGTCGGTTATGGGAATTATATATAGTTTGGATTCCGAGTGTCCAAATTTGGGTGAAAAATGTATACAGAGAAAAAAAAAGGTTAATTGATATATGACTTCGCTTACATATATATTCTGCCTTATCTGCCCGGGTGTCTGACGGGAGGGAAGGTTGAGATAAGACCGGTGTGCTTTCTCCTTTTCACTTCGTCTTGTTTTGTTTTGTTTTATCCTCTTCTCGTGCGTGGCGAGTCGTTTGCCGGAGTGATGCAAAAGGGGCCGTTGCGTTCATCCGCCGCTTTGGTTGAGCGAGAGGAAGTGCATGCGAGCTGATAAGGATTCAGGTAAATGGAGCCCGGACAGGGAGGGATCATGGCCACCCAACGGTCCAGACGTAACCGCCGGGTCCGAGGAAACCATTCCTCCCCTCTCCCCCTCCCCACCTCAACTCTCCTCTCCTCTCGTCTCCTCTCCAGCTCCCCTCCTCTCCCCCCTTCCCCGCCTCCATCCTCTCTCTTCCTCCTCACTACCTGGTCCTCCTCATTCTTCTTCTCCCCCCCTCCCCTCTTCCCCCCGCCTCGGTGTTCTGTCTTTGGCCGTCCGTGCGTGTTCCAGGGGGGAGGGGAGGGGACGGGAGGGACTGCACGCACTCCCTTGTCGCTACCGGCGGTCACACCTGCCCGCTCGTGACGCCGTGGTCGCATAACTGGCTGCCTGTTCACTGCCGGACTTCGCGCTTTTTGTCGTTTCAGTCCGTCCACTTGTTTTTTTCTCTGTTTGCCTGTATGTCCGTCTCTCTCTCTCTCTCTCTCTCTCTCTCTCTCTCTCTCTCTCTCTCTCTCTCTCTCTCTCTCTCTCTCTCTCTCTCTCTCTCTCTCTCACCCTCGTTTTCTTTCGCTTTTCCCTTCTCTCTCTTTCTCTCCAACGATTCACTTCACTTTCCCATCCTTCTCTCCTTCCCTGCCATTCAACCTGTTCCTCCACCCCCACCCCCCCTCTTCCACTCTCCTCCCTTCTCCTCGAGTAGGGATTCCGTGACAGCGTAACGTTAGAGCATCAAGGACATAACGAAGGCGTCATATCACAGCCTCTGCCTTTCAGCTGTCTCTCTCTCTCTCTCTCTCTCTCTCTCTCTCTCTCTCTCTCTCTCTCTCTCTCTCTCTCTCTCTCTCTCTCTCTCTCTCTCTCTCTCCTTCTTCTCCTTCTCCTCCTCCTCCTCCTCCTCCTCCTCCTCCTCCTCCTTCTTCTTTTCTTCTTCTTCTTCTTCTTCTTTCCTTCCTCCCTCCCTCCCTCCCTCCCTCCCTCCCTCCCTCCCTCCCTTCGCGCGCACACACTCGAGACGCCACTTTTCCCCCTCTCTTCTCTCCCTTCGCTTCCCTTTCTAAACACTCCTTCCTTTTCTTATTATCTCCTCCCGTGTCTCCCCGGCGTCATCATTAGGGGAGACGGACGGGGGGGTGTAGGGAAGGGGGGGGGAGTGAGAGTGTCGACCCAATGGCGATCCACGGGGAGAGAGGGAGAGGAAGAAATCGAAAGAGGGAGAGAGAGGGAGAGGGAGAGGGGGAGGGGGAGGATGTAGCCGACCCTCCTTTCCCCCTCCCCCTCATGACTGGCGGGTTATGAGTCACCCATACTTTTCTTTCCATGACTCCGAGTCCCTTTCTCGCTCCCTCCCTCCCTCCCTCCCCCTCTCTCCTCCCTCCCCCCCTCTCTCTCTCCCTCCCCCCCTCTCTCTCTCTCCCCTTCTTCTCCCTCCCCCTTTCGTTCCTTCTCTGATTATATTGGTTTTTGATTGTGTGTCCTCTCGGCATGTCTCTCTCCGACCCTATTTTTATTCAGTATTCCGTTCTCATAAATCTCATTTTTGTTTTATTCCGTTTTTTTTCTTCTTCTTTTTCTTCCATTCGTATTCTAATTTCTTTCTTTTTTTCCCTCCCCTATTCTCTCTCTCCCCCTTTCCCATTCCTCTCTTCGCTTCCTCGTCGTCACATTCTTCAGCGGAGACAATGACGAGCGAATCCCAAGACACGTACGGTACTCCAGCCTAACCATGGTAGAAAGAAGAAAGAATGGGAAAAAAGGGTAGACTTTTTAAAATATTTTAAAAATATTTGAATATTTTTACTTATTTATTTATTTAGTAGTATTATTATTTTTTTTATCTTTGATATTTTGTTCGCGTGTCTTGTTTCTAATGATTTGAATTTTTTTCTACGTCTTTTGGGTAGTTCGTTAGTTGTTTGTTTAATTTTGATCGTACTTAGAATGTTCATTGCATGACTCACCCCCCCCACACGCGGCACTCACTCGGTCATGCAAAGCTAGCAACCCCGGCGAGACATTCATTCACTACCAGCGTCCCTTCACAGAACACAAGCCGAAATATGATCGAGTCCCAGCTGATTTTTTTTTCTTTTTTGAATCGCTAGTTTTTGTTTTTGTTTTTTTCTCTCTCTTTTTTTATGGTGTTTCCAGTTTGTTAGATGCCGAACAGGTGGCGTTGTCTGTTACCCACCCTTTGCTTGTGGTTCTGTCGTTGCCTCTTTCGGTCGCCGTTTTGGGTTTCACTTTCCTTTATTTACGAGTTCGGATTATGAGTATATTCTTGTTTGGTTATTCTATTTTCCTTGTGTGTGTATTTCCTCCTTTCCATTCCTCTTCCTCCTTCTCTTACTCATTATCATTATCACCACCATCATCATCACCATCATCGTCACTACCATCATCACCATCACCATCATATTTTTTTCGATCCCCATAACTGGCCCATCATCTCCGCCATCCCCGCGTCTCCGCCCCTTGTCCCTCACACAAAGGCCTACACTTCCCTCATATCAGTTCCCTCCCTCTCTCTCTCTCCGCTTCCTCCTCTCTTCCTCTTCGCCTTGCAATCCATTCCTCATTACCTCACAATCCGTGTAAGTGCTGATAAGCTGGTGTTTCCTTCATCTTGCAACCTTGCCTGGCGTTTTGTTGCAGGGTGAGACTTGCGCGATAAGCCATATCAGCAAAATGCAGCGGTTTGAAGGGGGGTGGGGGGTGGCGGGGGTATGGATGGGGGTATTTCTCGCGCGTTCTTCCTTCTTTGCTTCTTTCTTCTAATTTATGTTTTTATATATGCATGTACACGCACACACAGACACACTCACACACTCACACACACACTCACACTCACACACACACCTGGCCGTCACCTTGCAGGTAGAGGTCAGGTAAAGCATGAATATTGCACCAGGCCTGAAGGTCGAGGGGTCTGTCAA